TTTTGATGCATGTGCCCCCCCACCCGCCCCCCAACTAACCCCCCCCCCCCCCCCCCCATTGCACGGTGTGGTTGCTTCTCCTTAACCAGGGTCCGTACCCGGTGCCGGGGCAGCGCGGCCGCCCCCCCGGCAGCCCCTGTCCCGCCAGGACACCGTGGACGTGGAGCCCGCGGACGCAGCCGGCACCGAGCCCGGTGATTCCTGCCCCACGGACATCGAGATGGAGCCGGGAGACGCGGAGCCCGTGGGGCACCCCCCGGCTGCCAGCCCCACACCCCCCCCCGCGGGGCTATGGGGTGAGGGTGAGCCCCACAGCCGGGCTATGGGGCAGGGCGCAGGGGAGCGGAGCGATGGGGAGCGATGGGGCCAGGATGTTTACACCCCCCGTTAGGGTGAAGAGGAAGGGGGGGATGCAGGCCCCCATCGCCTGCCTTTGTGCCCCCATGGGGAGCCCCTGCTTTGCCCTGGGACCCCCATTTCTCCCTTGGGGGGTGTCCCCCATTACACCGCAGCCCCCCAACATCTCGCGGTGCCTCAAGCCCTCCCTGCTGGGGAGGGGGCAAGTGACCAAATGGGCCCCCCAGCCCGTCCCCTGCCCCATGGTGGGGGCTCTGTGTATGTGTCCCCCCCTCCATGGTGCTCTTTGCCACCCGGCTGCAGGGGGGGGCCCTGCGCTCATCTCAACCCCCCCCCCCCAAGCAGCGCCTACAGCACTGCCCCACTGCAGGGCTGTGACCCACAGCGCCCCCCAACGTCGGGTTGGGGGGTGCCAACGCATGCGTGTGCAGTGTGTGCAGGGTGTTGGGGTGCTGTGTGCCCTGAGCGGGGGGGGGGGGAGCAGTTTGCATGTGTTTGCCTTGGAGGGGCTCTGCTTGAGTTTGGGGGGGGGGGGGGATGTAAATCTGAGCCAGTTTGGGGGGGTCTAACACGTGCTAACAGCTGCCCAGCCCTGGCCTGCCCTATGGGGGGGGCCCTTACCCTGGGGTTGGGGTGCACAGGGCAGCCCCCCCGTTTCCCCCCGCTGTGTCCGTCTGTCTGTGAGCCTGTCTCTGTGTGTCCCCCCCCCAAGGGCACTGCCTTCTCCTGCGCCCGCCCTGGGGTGCCCTTTGTGTGTGTGTGTGTGCGTGTCCCCCCCAACCCGCACCAAGGTGGGGGTGTCCCCACCCCACATCCAGCCCTCACCGTGGGGCCGGGCTTGCCCCATTTATGGGGGTCGCTGCCTTACCCAGACCCCCCCCCAGCTTTGGAGGGATCGAGGAGGGGGGGGGGGACATGACACCCCACTCTGCCCATGTGTGCCTCAGTTTCCCCTTTGGGGGGGGGGGGGTCACACAGTGTCACTGCTGCCAAGTGCTTTGAGACCTTCCTGCCCTGGTGCTCGCCAGGCAGCGGGGTCCCCCCCCCATGGGCACTGGATCCCCCCTATTTATGTCACTCCACAACCGTTATTTAAAAGACCCCAAAAAAGTGTATTTTATTTATTTATTCTGTTGGGGGGGGGTGGTTTTTGGGGGGGGAACTCGCCCCGCTCGCTTGGTTCTTTGTAATAAACAGTTCGGTGAGACCTGCCCCATGGCTGTGCCTGGTGTGCGGGGGGGGACGGGGACACAAACCCATAGGGCTGAGACCTGCCCCATGGCTGTGCCTGGTGTGCGGGGGGGGACGGGGACACAAACCCATAGGGCTGAGACCTGCCCCATGGCTGTGCCTGGTGTGCGGGGGGGGACGGGGACACAAACCCATAGGGCTGAGACCTGCCCCATGGCTGTGCCTGGTGTGCGGGGGGGGACACACGACACAAACCCATAGGGCTGAGACCTGCCCCATGGCTGTGCCTGGTGTGCGGGGGGGGGGACACACACGACACAAACCCATAGGGCTGAGACCTGCCCCATGGCTGTGCCTGGTGTGCAGGGGGGGACACACGACACAAACCCATAGGGCTGAGACCTGCCCCATGGCTGTGCCTGGTGTGCGGGGGGGGACGGGGACACAAACCCATAGGGCTGAGACCTGCCCCATGGCTGTGCCTGGTGTGCGGGGGGGGGACGGGGACACAAACCCATAGGGCTGAGACCTGCCCCATGGCTGTGCCTGGTGTGCGGGGGGGACGGGGACACAAACCCATAGGGCTGAGACCTGCCCCATGGCTGTGCCTGGTGTGCGGGGGGGGACGGGGACACAAACCCATAGGGCTGAGACCTGCCCCATGGCTGTGCCTGGTGTGCGGGGGGGGGACACACACGACACAAACCCATAGGGCTGAGACCTGCCCCATGGCTGTGCCTGGTGTGCGGGGGGGGGACACACACGACACAAACCCATAGGGCTGAGACCTGCCCCATGGCTGTGCCTGGTGTGCGGGGGGGGACGGGGACACAAACCCATAGGGCTGAGACCTGCCCCATGGCTGTGCCTGGTGTGCGGGGGGGGACGGGGACACAAACCCATAGGGCTGAGACCTGCCCCATGGCTGTGCCTGGTGTGCGGGGGGGGGACGGGGACACAAACCCATAGGGCTGAGACCTGCCCCATGGCTGTGCCTGGTGTGCGGGGGGGGGACACACACGACACAAACCCATAGGGCTGAGACCGGGCACAACTCAGCTCTGCAGTGCCCAGCCAAAGGGGAACGGCTGCGGATGGAGCTGGGACCCGCCCGGCTCCACGCTGGGGATAGGGGAGGGAACCCGAAGCCGCGGTGATGGGCGATGGCTCGGCCGGCTCCGGGCGGGCTATTTACAGGCAATAAATAGGGAGCCGCCGGCTCAGGGCTGCCGGCACCGCCACTCGCTCTTCTCCGGCCGGTACTCGAACGCCTTCCTGCGGAGGGAGATGGAGCACAAAGCGGTTAACACCGCGCTCCCGGCCCCGGTCCCCGCGTCCCCGGGAGCCCCGCACTCACTCTCGGACGGGCGCGCTCGCCCTGCACACGAGCCCTCGCTGGCAGGGGCAGAGTTGGTTGATGCTGAAGGCGAGACCCCCGGGGGGGACGTGGCAGCTCCGGCCCCGCTCCAGCCGCCGCTGACAAACGCTTTCGCCGTGCACCCGCGCACAGCACCCGTCGGCTCCGCACTCCTCGTCCCGCACGCACCGAGCTCCTGCGGGGATGGGGAACAGCGTCAAGGGAGGGGGAACCCGGCCCGGTCCTCGCGCTGGGGACACGGATGGAGCTGGACCAGTGAGTGCCCCCCTCCATCAAGGGGGATGCTGCGATGTCCCCCCAGTCCAAGCCCGGTCCTTGCTCTGGGGACACGGATGGAGCTGGACCAGTGAGTGCCCCCCTCCATCAAGGGGGATGCTGCAATGTCCCCCCAGTCCAAGCCCGGTCCTTGCTCTGGGGACACGGATGGAGCTGGACCAGTGGGTGCCCCCCTCCATCAAGGGGGATGCTGCGATGTCCCCCCCAGTCCAAGCCCGGTCCCTGCACTGCGGACAGGGATGGAGCTGGACCAGTGGGTGCCCCCCCCCCCCCCCCATCAGCTCGCAGGGGTGATGCTATGATGTCCCCCCCGCCTCGTCCAAGCCAAATCCCCACACTGGGGACACGGATGGAGCTGGACCAGTGGGTGCCCCCCTCTATCAAGGGTGATGCTGCGATGTCCCCCCCAGTCCAAGCCTGGTCCCTGCACTGCGGACAGGGATGGAGCTGGACCAGTGGGTGCCCCCCCTCCATCAGCTCGCAGGGGTGATGCTGCGATGTCCCGTGTCCCCCCCGTCCCGTCCCCGTTAAATCCCGGTCCCCGCTCACCCTCCTGCCCGTCGGGCACGGGCTGTTGGCACTTCCCGAACATGCAGAGGAGGCCGCGGGCGCAGTGCGAGTCTCGGCGGCAGTACTGCCCCTCGGGCCGCTCGGGCAGGCACAGCCCGAAGTGCTCGTCGCAGAAGTGCCCGTGGGTGCAGGGGGTGGCCGGGCCGCAGGTTGATGCCTATGGGGGGGACACACACACAGGGCATCCTCATCCCTGCCTCCGGGACAAAAGCTGCTCGCGCATCTCGAATCAAAGCGGGGTGGTGGGGACAATGGGGACAATGGGGAGAGACGGGGGTTGGGGGGGGGTGGGTGTCGGGGCACGTAAAAGTCGTGCTCCAGGTGAGGCTCGAACTCACAACCTCGGCATTGCTCCGCGTACTGCCCTATAAGTACCGCGCGCTGACCGATTGCGCCACTGGAGCGCCCGGCGCCGCCCGCCGCGCCCGCGCCCCCTGCCGGCCCCGCCGGTCCCGCCCCGGCTGGAAACGGGGCCCCCCCTTGGAGCAGGACCGGCTCCGGCCCCTGGACCCAGCCCCAGCTCCCGTCCCAGGGCAGACCCCGATCCTGCACCCATCTCTGCTCCCATCCTGCCTTTAAACACAGCTCCTGCACCCATCTCTGCTCCCATCCCAGGGCAAACACAGCTCCTGCACCCATCTCTGCTCCCATCCCAGGGCAAACCCCGATCCTGCACCCATCTCTGCTCCCATCCCAGGGCAAACCCCGATCCTGCACCCATCTCTGCTCCCATCCTGCCTTTAAACCCCGATCCTGCACCCATCTCTGCTCCCATCCCAGAGCAAACCCCGATCCCGCACCCATCTCTGCTCCCATCCCAGGGCAAACCCCGATCCCGCACCCATCTCTGCTCCCATCCCAGGGCAAACCCCGATCCCGCACCTATCTCTGCTCCCATCCCAGGGCAAACCCCGATCCTGCACCCATCTCTGCTCCCGTCCTGCCTTTAAACACAGCTCCTGCACCCATCTCTGCTCCCATCCCAGGGCAAACCCCGATCCCGCACCCATCTCTGCTCCCATCCCAGGGCAAACCCCGATCCCGCACCCATCTCTGCTCCCATCCCAGGGCAAACCCCGATCCCGCACCCATCTCTGCTCCCATCCCAGGGCAAACCCAGCTCCTGCACCCATCTCTGCTCCCATCCCAGGGCAAACCCAGCTCCTGCACCCATCTCTGCTCCCATCCCAGGGCAGACCCAGCTCCCGCACCCATCTCTGCTCCCATCCCAGGGCAAACCCAGCTCCTGCACCCATCTCTGCTCCCACCCTGCCTTTAAACACAGCTCCTGCACCCATCTCTGCTCCCATCCCAGGGCAAACACAGCTCCCGCACCCATCTCTGCTCCCATCCCAGGGCAAACACAGCTCCCGCACCCATCTCTGCTCCCATCCCAGGGCAAACCCCGATCCTGCACCCATCTCTGCTCCCATCCTGCCTTTAAACACAGCTCCCGCACCCATCTCTGCTCCCATCCCAGGGCAAACCCAGCTCCTGCACCCATCTCTGCTCCCATCCCAGGGCAAACCCAGCTCCCGCACCCATCTCTGCTCCCATCCCAGGGCAAACCCCGATCCTGCACCCATCTCTGCTCCCACCCTGCCTTTAAACCCCGATCCTGCACCCATCTCTGCTCCCACCCTGCCTTTAAATCCATATCCTGCACCCATCTCTGCTCCCACCCCTGGTGCAGACCCAGCTCCCACCTTCATCCCACCCTGATACACACCCAGCTCTCCTGTACCCATCTCTGCTCCCAACCCAGGGGCAAAGCCACCTCCTGCTCCTGGACCCACCCGTGCTCTCTCAGCCCCAGCTCCCATCCCAGGGGCAAACCCAGCTCCCACCCTGCCTTTAAATCCCGATCCTGCACCCACCTCTGCTCCCAGCCCTGCTGCAGACCCAGCTCCCACCCTGGTACAAACCCGGCTCTTCTGCACCCATCTCTGCTCCCACCCCAGGGGCAAAACCACCTCGTGCTCCTGGACCCACCTCTGCTCCCACCCTGGCTCTAAACCCAGCTCCCCCCCTGCCGCAGCCATACCCCGCTCCCTCCTGCCCCCCCCCCCCCCCCCCCCCAGGACCCCCTCCCCGTGCGGCACCCATCGCACCGCGCACCCATCCCTCACCTCCTCGGCCTTGTCCCCGGGGCTGGCGCTCCTCCCCAGCGCGGCTTCCTCGGGGGGCTGATGGGGCAGCGAGTACATCCAGGCCCAGAGGTACCCGGAGGCCGCGGGCAGGAGCGAGGCGATGAGGATGAGGATGGCCGGGGACATCGGCATGGTGCTGGCGGTGGCGCTGGGTGCCCGGGCCGGGGGCACACGGGGTATTTGTAGCCCAGAGCCTATCATGAACCCTGCTGCTAAAACTGTTTGCCCACCTAATGGGGAAGGAGGAGGCAATCAGGGGTTAAGGGATTAACGTAATTGCAGCCTTCCCCTCGCTGCGGGCAACAGCCCCAAAGCAAACAGCCCCCTCGGTGCAGTCTGGCTCCGGCGCCGGGTGGGTGCAGCTTGGGGTGCCCCTGTGTGCGTCCCCCCCTCCATGGTTTAGGATGCTGGAATCGAGCAGCTCCACGCAACAGCAGCTTCGGGGTTTGTCCCCCCCCCATTTCATAGGGGGCAGTGGGAAGGAGGGAGGGGAAATCAGGGGGCAAACGCAAGGCAAGCAGTTGGCATCTGAGCGGTGTTTGCTTTGTGCCCCCCCCCCAGCCATGCATGTCCCGTGTGCCCCCTCCCTGTGCACACACAACTGCCGGCGGGTGACGGGCTTTGCACCTTCCCTAATGGGTTCACTAACGAGGTGTTTGCGTGGCCGGGCCCTTATCACCCGGCTGAGCTGCGCTGGCGCTGGGCAAACCCGTTAATGGCCCCCCCCCCCGAGCACCCCAACAGTGTGGTCCCAAACAGGCGGGGGGGGGCACCCGCCGACCTCTCCAATACACTTTGAAGCGGGGAAGAGCAGCCCAGGGCTGGCTCCTGCAGCGATGCCATCGCTGCCCTGGTTTGTCCCCAGGGCAGGGGCACTGCAGGGATGTGGGGATGGAGATGACCCCCCCCCCCCTTGGGCTTTGATTCGTGCCTCAGTTTCCCCATGTAAAGAGGACGGGGGGAGGCCGATGGGGCACGGACGGGGCCGAGGGGACACCCCGGGCCGGGGGCTGGGGAACCACCGCGGCCTCTCGCACTGGGGGGGCCCCAAACCTCCTTTGTCCCCCGGATCGTGCCCCGGGCGCTGCCGCCGCTCGCTCTCTGTTTGTTCAGCGGCTCCGGCAGCAAATATTGACCCGGCTCCATGGGGCAATCGCTCCCCTCATCCGCCCCCCGCTGGCTGCTCCCCACAACGCTGCTGTCTCCGGCTCGAATTCCCCCCCCCCCCAGCCCCACGGAAGCCCCACATGGTGCCTCTGCCCCCCCCCCCCCCAACCCCCGGGGGTCCCGCAGCCCCCCCCAAGTCCCTGCAGTGCACACACAGGCAGGCCCTGAGCTGGCTCCATCCTGCTCTGTGCTGATGGGGTTGGGGGGTGATGATGCCATGTCCCGTGTCCCCCGAACCGAACCGATGAGTCTGGGGGCTGCATCCTCCAACCCCTGCTGTGCAAATGGGAGGGTGTGTGTGTGTGTGTGTGCAGGTGAGACGGGGGGGGGGGGCACGGGGGAGCCTGTGGGTCATGGGTGCTCAGTGGGGTGCACAAGGGGGTGTCCATGGGGCGGGGGTACGCAATGGATGCAGCGGTGCTGCAGCGCGAGTGAGCGCGCAGTGATTGCGGCGGGGGTATAGCTCAGTGGTAGAGCATTTGACTGCAGATCAAGAGGTCCCCGGTTCAAATCCGGGTGCCCCCTCTTTTGCTATCTCGGGGCGCGGGGGGGGCTCCTTTTCCCCGTCCCCTTTATTTGCTCCCCAGCACCCACCTCAACCAGGTGGGGGGGGGTCGCCTCCTGCTCCCCGCAGCCTCGGGTGACCCCAGCGGGGGGGTCGCTTCCCCTTGCAGGAGGACGGAGCCAATTCGGTAGAGACCCCCACAGTGCCCCCCCCCCCCCCCCCGTCGCAAGGATCCCCCCCACCCCCGGACCCCCACCTTGGGACCCCCCCACCCCGCGGCACTCGGGACTCCCATTTTGGACCCCCCTCACGCCCGCAGTAGGGACGGGGCTGTGGGACCCCCTGCTGCGCTGCTGCCTCCCCCCCCCCAAGGAAGGGGATGGAGACGGAGCCGGGGGGGGGGGGGGGGGCCGCAGCCGTGCCCGGACCGGGGCCGGGTTCCCCCCTCCGGGATCCCCGCTCCGCTCCTTGGATCCCGTCCCCGCTCCGGGGCTCCCCATCCCCGCGATCCCAACCCCGGAACCCCCCCCCCTCACACCCCGGGATCCCCCCCATGCCCCCTCCAGCCCCGCCCCCAGCCCCACCCCCGGCCCCACCCCCTGCTTCCCCCCCCCCCTCCCCTTCCCCCCCCCCCGCTCCTCTCCCGCTCCGCTCCGGGTGCGCGGCTCCCGCGGGTCCCGGTTGATGGCGGGGCGCTGACACCCCCCACACCCCCCACACCCCCCCCCAGCAGCGCCGGCCCGAGGGGGGGCCCCGCCACCCCCCAGCACCATGCGCTGGGGGGGCCTGATCCTGCTCTGCCTGCTCCGCGCGGCGCTGGGCGCAGGTAGGGGGCTGCGGAGGGGGCGAGGGACCCGAGGGGGGGGTGCAGCGGTGGGGCTGGGGAGGGGGGGGGCTGTAGCCCCATTGGTGGGGACCCCCCACCCCCCCCCCTCGTGGCTGTGGGTGCAGATTTGGGGGGGGACAACACTGGAGCCTCTGTGGGGTCCCACTGAGCCCCCAGCATCGGCGAGGGCTGGGTCCCCCTCAGTGCTCCCATGGGGACCCCCCAGCACTGAGCACCCTTTCCCTTACCCGGGGGCTGCCGGCTGCCCCCCCCCTCCTTGCCTCAGTTTCCCCTCCCAGAGGAGCTGGGGATAGAACCCAGCCCCATGGGATGGCTCCGAGCTCCTCAGGCAGCAACGAGCTCCCTATGGGGAAAAGGGGGGGGACCCTGTCCCAGGGGTGATGGAGCAGCCCCCCCCGGTGTCCTGGCTCCATCGGGAGCAGCAGGGAAGTGCCATGGATCTCTGCAGGTCTGGTCCCAAATGGCTTGTTCACATCCATCCCCCCCCCAATTCCATGTTTTCCATCTACCTGGGGCTGGAGCCGGGCGGGGG